CACTGTTTTGATCTCGAGGAATGTGGACCAGAGTCCATTCTTTGAAGCGATGCAATATGATATGAAGTTTGTCTAAGTATCTTTGCATCCTGTCTTCTCGGACCTCGAAGCTCCCATTAACTTGGTTAACTACCAGAAGGGAGTCGCATTTTGCTTCGACGACTTATGCTCCTAGGCTCTTGGCCAACTCGATACCTGCACTCATAGCCTCATACTCGGCCTCGTTGTTAGTGAAGCGGAGTTTTTATAGATTGCCTAATCATACCATCCGTAGGCGGTTCAGAACGATGCCGAGCCCGGACCCTTTTACGTTCGAGGCACCATTGGTGAATAGGGTCCATACCCCCGATGATGTGCCTGTTTCTAGCAAGAGTTCTTTCTCTACCTCGGGCATGAGGGCAGGCGTAAAATAAGCCACAAAGTCCGCCAAAATTTGGGACTTGATAGCCGCCCGAGGTTGATATTCGATATCGCCCCGAGCTCGATGACCCATTTGGCCAATCTCCCTGCTAATTCAGGCTTGTGCAAGATGTTTCGAAGAGGGTATGTTGTTAAAACACATACACGGTGGCACTGAAAATAAGGTTTTAATTTTCGAGATGCACTTATTAATGCAAGAGCTAATTTTTCTAAGTGTGGATACCTGGTTTCAGTATCTCCTAGAGTCCGACTTACGTAATAAATAGGGAATTGCGTACCTTGTTCTTCCCGAACCAACACACCACTTACCGCTACTTCGGTTACGGCCAGATATAAGTATAACGTTTCATCTTCTTTCGGGGTTTGGAGCAAAGGCGAGCTCGAGAGATATCACTTTAACTCCTCTAAAGCATGCTGGCATTCCGAAGTCCATTCAAAGATGTTTTCTTTTTTAGCAAGGAAAGAAATTATGGCTCCGATCTGACGATCTTGAGATGAATCGGCTTAAGGCCGCTATCCGCCCGGTCAGCCGCTGCATGGCCTTCACATTGTTAACCACTGTGATTTCTTCAATGGCCTCGATTTTGTCAGGATTGATCTCGATCACCCTATTTGACACCATGAATCCTAAAAATTTTCCAGATCCTACTCCGAAGGCACACTTCTGGGGTTGAGCTTCATGTTGTAACTTCTGAGGATATCGAATGTTTCCTGCAAATGAGTCAAATGGTCCTCTGCACGCAGGGACTTAACTAGCATGCCATCAATGTAAACTTCCATAGATTGGCCTATTTGATGTTCGAACATCTTATTAACTAGGCGTTGGTACATAGCCCCTGCGTGTTTTAGCCCGAAGGGCATTACGTTGTAACAATACGTACCATACTTCGTGATGACCGAGGTCTTTTCCCTGTCTTCTGGGTTCATTTGAATTTGGTTATACCCGGAATAGGCATCGAGAAGAGTAAGGGTCTCGTGGTTGGCCGTGGCATAGATCAAGCGATCAATGTTGGGCAATGGGAAGGAGTCTTTGGGGCATTCATTATTTAAGTCTTTATAATCTACGCACATTAGTAATTTGTTTCCTTTTTTGGGGACCACCACTACATTAGACAACCATTCAGGGTATTTTACCTGCTTAATTGATCCTATTTTGAGGAGTTTTGTTACCTCGTCTTTGATGAACGCATGTTTTACCTCGGATCCAGGCCTCCTTTTTGCTTCACTAGTTCGAACCTGGGATCGACACTTAGTCGATGGGTGGTTATTTCAGGTAAGATCCCTGTTATGTCTAAATGGGACCAAGCAAAGCAATCAATATTTTCAATAAGGAACTGGATGAGTTTTTTCCTGAGTTCGGGGGTTAACCCGTCCCCAGGTATACCTTTCGATCCGGAAGATGCTTGATCAAGACGACCTGCTCGAGTTCTTCGATCGTTGATTTTGTTGCGTCCGACTCCTCGAGGGTAATGAAGGTCAGGGGAGTGAGTAAGTCTTCTTCGTTGCCTTCGTTCGAATGTTCGCAGACCACCTGCTCCTCGTGGGTCAGCCTGTTCCCCGACTCGTCCCAGACGGGGGGAGTCGATGTTGGTGCCATGTTGTTTACCACAAACATCTCCTTTGCTGCACGTTGTTCTCCGCACACCATTTTTATACCATTTTTGTTGGGAACTTCATCATCTGGCGAAGAGTTGATGGTACCGCCCCCATGTTGTGTATCCACGATTTTCCAAGTAAGGCATTGTACCTTATGTCACCTTTGATGACATGAAACTTGGTGTCTTGAACTGTACCGGACACGTTGACTGGGAGGGTGATTTCTCCTCTCGTTGTCTCGCTTGCTAGGTTGAATTCATTGAGGATTCGAGAGGTGGATATGACATGATCGAGCAATCTGAGCTGCTCCACCACCTTCGACCTGATTACGTTGGCCGAGCTACCTGGATCCACGAGCACCCGTTTAATTTGAATGTTATTAAAAAGGAAAGAAATTACCAATGCATCATTATGCGCTGGGGACGAGGCTGCGATATCTTCTTCTCTTAATATAAGAACGTCCCTGGGTACATAGCTCCGAGTTTGCTTTTCCATTGCGATGGCACTTTGGCCCGTTTGAACACGGGTCCAGGTGGGTTGGTTTCTCCAACCATCATGTGAATATGCTGAGGTTCTTCTGGTCCGTTCTTCCCATGAAGCCCAATATCATTGTTCTCGCATGCATTTGCTGAGTTAGACATTTTGACCAGAAATCAGCTATCCTTGGACAAGAAAAAGTGTGAAGTATAACTTTGTATTTTCAAAACTAGCACCAAAACAATCACTATTATTCTTAGCCCCACGGTAGGCGCCAAACTATTTATCTTGAAAATGGTAACTACAATTATATTTGATTTTGTGGTTCTAAAAATACGTGATTTATCTTAACACTAGTTGTTAGGTAATAGATGCTAGATGTGAGTAAAGAAAATAAACAATGCAAACCAATAGGGTCACAAAGCTGGGCCTCGGTCTAGCTGGAGTAGGGCCTCGAGGTCTAGAAGGGGCTAATATCTATGAATGATTGATGAAGAATCAATGATAATTAGGGCCTTAAAGATGGAATTTTACGGTAAATGATGAGCAATAAATGGAGAACAATAAATGAACAATGAAAGAAATAAGCAATAAATGTGAAGAACAATAGTGTTAGCAAAGAGCAGAGAATGTTGTATTGTTTTCAATATGTTGTGTAATAATCTGAATGCCTTACAAGGTGACAAGGGTCCCCTTTATATAGGGGGGAGATCACAACATAGTACATGTCTAATAATGACGGGAAAAGGCTATTGGTACAGCTGTATAATGGCTTTGTATGGATTGGTACTATTCTCGCAGGCCTGATCAGTTCTTGCCACGTGTTCTTGGGATCTTTCCCGCCTTTCCATGATGATCATCGATTTGTACTGCTCCGAGATTGTCCCTCAATGTGCTTCCCCCGGGAACGCACCTAGGGGCCACATTTCAAAGTCTACTTCGAGCTCCCCGAGGTCGGGCATGGAGCGCTAAAATAACCCCAAAGTCTAACTATTCCAATTTTGGCCGTTTACAAAACTAACTCATGGCAAATGTCCAATTGGATGCATCGAGGAACCTTTCAGCTCGAAGACCTTGGGTTTGAAAGCATGCGTTGCATTATTTTCCCTTAGATCGGGTTTATCCCAAATGAGTTTTACCGGCAAGGTTTTTAACCAGGCAACACCTGTATGCTACCTAAGGGTCACTCAACAAGTATTCAAGGCTTCTTTTCGATCAACCTCGAATACTGGAGGGAATCACCCTCGAGGTTATACATTTGAGAAAGATATTTCACGCCCAAGAGGGTTTCGATAGGAGAACTTTATAACAGGCCAAACGGTCAAATGAACCGTGTCCATATAGAATAAACGAGCCCCGACGGAAAAACATGTGCACATGTATAAACTATTTAAAGAAGCATTCTAGTAATATCCAAAACACTTTGTATCTCATACGAGCTCTACACTTACAATCCTACGGGAAGCGGCTCAAGGGCCAAAGCACCCCGAAATACTCAGGGACTGTCATTAACAATCGATACACCCGAGTCATCGAAAATTCAGACTTATAAGACCTCAAAGAGGCACCCTCTCGAAACAAAGTCCAAGGCCTATTTACTCGGGGACTAACTTTTCGAACAAGTTCAGAAAGTTATCGGGAAAAAAGTCCATGTGACAAACCCGAAGGCTACGGCAATACTAAAGACTACAGTCATATAAAGGCTACGGCCAAAATAATGTGATTCGGAGATGTCCTATTTTCTCTATAAAATTAAAGGACATCAAACATTGAAAAACCGGTTAAGTCAGGCTACCCCCGGCAAAAGCAAAATATAAGGGGCCTCGATAAATTCGACTCACAAAAAATCTAAGGGCTTCGAAAAATCAGCCCTCGAACAATCCAAAGGCTTCGATAACACCAGCCTTCGAAAACCCTTAAGAGGTATTCGATTATGTCCATGCAAAAAATGACTAATGAGGTCCCGATACGTCGATCCTTCGAAAAACCCAACGGGTACAAAAACACATGCTAAGGCATAACTAAAATTTCACTAAGTCTTTTAGCCGAAACGAGAGAAAAATTATATAGCCATTTTAGAGGCTGAAACGGCCCGATTTAAAGATCTTAAGGGCCAATTTAAAAAAAAAAGCCTAAGGGACGATATACAAGAGCCCAAGGGCCAACTTAAAAGAAGTATAGGTCCGAAGACCTATGGGAGTCTGAGACCCCGTTCTCGTTTTACTTAGACCCAAAGGCCCCGTTACCCCAAGCTCGCATTAATTTGATTTTATGTTTGGCTCGGGGATCTAAAACCCTAAGGGGTTGGGCAATAAAAGCCTATGGGCTTATTACGAGTCTAAACCGATACTCGAACTTAGCATTTGAATCATCGGAATTTTTCATAAACGGGGACAAAATAAAAGTCAAGACAAATCAAGAACAGAGCAAAATGCTACTTTATATTCATTTGTATATTTACAAAGCATATTTCAATGCCCACGAGGGGCCCTTGTACAAAAAGAAACCTACTCTAGTTTCGGGGCCATGTCCCCAAGAGTGCCGTCTTCATCTCTAGTGGCTTTATCTTTGGGATTATATTCCCCTTCGGGAGCAGCTTCTTCACTTTCCTCGTCCCCGCAGCCACTCACCATATCCTCTTCATCGGAGGAGATAAGAAACCTAGCATCGGTTTCCCGTGCCTGTGCTTCGGCTATCTCCTCGGCAAGGTTGAACCCTCGATCATGTATTTCCTCGAGAGTCTCCCTCCGGGCTTGACACTTAGCCAATTCATTGCTTCATGTTGCCCATTCGAAGGCCTCCCTCAACTCTTCTTGAACGGCCGTGGTTTCTCTCACGTATATAGAAATTAATTTATCAGCCGCAACGTTCGTCTTCTCAGCTTCGGCCTTAGTTTGTGCAGCTTCAGCCTTAGCATGTGCAGCTTTGGTCCGGGCTTTTGCCAGTTCGGCCTCCAGTTCCTTGATTTCCCTGGCTTGAGCCAAGCCCTTTGCTTCAATACCTCGGAGCTGAGCTTCAGCTGAGGCCAGTTGAGCCTTAACAGCTTCCTTTTCGGCAACAAGTCGATCCATGTTCTCCTTCCACTGATGGCAATCAGCCCGAACTCGATCCACCTTGCACCGGAGTTGCCCAATCATGTTCAACTTTTGTTGCATCTGCGATATCAAAGTATTAGCCTCCGAAGAAGGGCCAAGAGTGCCGAACTTTGTTAAAATCAAAGTTACCTGCTCATCCAGCTCGGACTCACTTTTTTGAGCTTTAGCTAAAGCGGTTCGGAGGTCCTTAAGCTCCTCTTCCGTCCGGCTGCAGAGAAGCCTCAAGGCCTTCTCTTCGCCCAAAACTCTCTTGATCTCGACCTCACATTGTCTCAACTCACTCAGAACTTTGTAACTACCTACACATGAAATAAAGACACATCAGTCGAAAGAGGTAGAAAGAAAAAATTACACTGTTAAAAGTAAGTACGTACCCGAATAAGGAGATGCTGAGCCTCTTCAAAAATGGAGGATTCAGCGTTGAGGTCGCCGGAATCCTCTATCCCAGCATAGCAAGCTTGAAAGGGGTCGTCCTCAATGAACATATTTGTATCGGGCATATGTAAAGCGTTGGCTTCCTCGATTTCCCCCCAGAATAAGTTGGCAGTGAAACTGAGTGACCTATTGTCGCGGCCCCGAGCTCTTCACTCGGGGCATTATCATTAGCATGGGGGGAATCAACGTTTACCCCCTCCGATATAGCAGCTGAAGATGGAGGGACAATCTCAACCTCCGGGGACATAGGGGCCTTGCCCGTTTCTTCTCTCCGGGCATCCTCACCAGGAGGTCGATTTTCTAGTTCGGAAGGCTCGGCTACCTCGACTGGATTCCTAGTCCGAGTCACCAACGCTGATTCTTCATTATCATTCTCCTCACCATCCAGGGAGTCATGGGCTGAGTCTGTGCCCGTTTGAGCAAACCCTTTCCGTAGCCTTCGAGTGGAGGTTTTCTTGTCCTGAGGGTCTTCGGGTTTCGAGACCCTTTTTCTTTTGTTTTCCTTCTCGAGCTTTGGATTTAAAGACTTGTTTTTTTCTCAGGCGGGGCTGGCCTCATCTCGGACGCATCTCCAAGGCCGCGGTTCTTGGCCTCCCATTGGCCCTTCGCCAATTCACGCCACTTATGGTTGACGTAGGAAGAAGTGGCAGCTAATTTTCTGACCCAATACTCGAGGTCGGGCACAACTAGGGGCGCTCAAGCATCAGCTGCCAAAAGAAATATGAAAGAGTTATGGAAAATGAAAGAACATGAATAGATACAAAAAATACGTACTCCATGCACAGTTAAAGTTACACATCTCTGGAAACGGCATTTTTTCCTCGGGGATGATGTCCGAAGTCCTGACTCTAACAAATCGGCTCATCCAACCCCAATCTTTGGTTTCATCGCTGCTAGCAAAAAAGGACTTCGTGGTTCGATGCTACAGCTTGATGAGCCCTCGGAATAACTAGGGCCGATACAACCGAACTAGGTGGCTGAGAGTGAATTCCAAACCCTCGGCCTTCTCAAAGAAATACCGCAGCATGATCACGATACGCTAGAATGAAGGGTGGATTTGAACGAGGGTGACTTCGTATGTCTTGCAGACGTCGATCACCACCGGATCTAGGGGTCCAAGTGTGAATGGGTAAGTGTAAACACTCAAAAAACCCTCCTTGTGGGTGGTTATGCTTTCATCGGGCCTCGGGATCTGAACCTCGACCTCGTCTGCCCACCAACAATCCTCCTTTACATCCTTGATGAGCTGCTTAGTTATCAAGCTAATATATCAGGATACGTGCTCGCATCGGCCCTCGACATCGGGAGGATTCTCGATACCGAAGTCCTTTTTTATGACACAATCACCAGGGGTGATTTCTTCAAGTGTTAGCAGCACCACCGATTTGGCCAGCCATGAGGGAAAGGAAGATGATGCTTTATCTTTTTTAGGGACCGTCTTGGAAGTTTTGGCCATGGTTGTAAGCTAAGGAATGCAGGTGCACAGGGATGTAGTGTTTCCGGCAAGAGCTTGGTGTTTTCCGGCGTTTACAGAGGCGGAGGAAGCGAGTGATTGAAGATAGAGATGAAGATAGGAAAAGGTTGAAGAAAGGGTAAAGTTCTTTACTTAGGGAAAATGCCCCATATTTATAGAGAGACATCGACGGTTCGGTGGCATTAGTGCCCGACCAACGCTGACGTGCATTCAATGTTTTTGGGGAATGGGTTGATGGGACGTTTCAGTCACTTCGAAGGCTGGCATCGCGAGTATGATGTCGTCATTGGAGGCTCGGGAAAATCAAGGTTCAAATCGTTTCATATCATTCCATTCAAAGAAACGCGGGGAGTATCTATATAAGGTCAAAATCGAGGAGCATGATTTTGAAGTCTTAAGCTGAGCTATGGGTCTGAGTCCGGGAGATTCGAAGTAGAGGTCAGATCCTGCTAAGGTACACATACCCCGATGAAGCTGATCGAAGGCCTGACATGGCTTGCATCGAGGGAAGCACAATCTCGAAGTCAATCAAGAAAGAGCGGGAAATTCTTAAGGACACGTGGACCACGACATAAATTAAAGGATAAGATTTGTACGAAATGATACAGGTCCGTACTAGGTCGTTATACACCTGTACCAATAGAATTCTTTACCACAATAAGGAATTTACTATATTGGGGTTTTCTCCTCCAATATAAAAGGGACCCCAATCATTTTGTAATGGGAGATCACATTGTTCAGTGCAATAGAAAATTCTATTTTACTCTTGTTTTACGTGCTCAACAATTACTCTTCAACTTTATTGCCTTTACTTTATTGTTCATACTTTATTGGTCTAAGCTGACCTCGAGGTCCCTGGATAACCTAACTCGATGCCCCTACTGCTCCAACAATATTGATTTTTTCATCATTTCTTCTTATTTAAGCTTAATATTACTTGTATGATCACTAGTATTAGAATATATCACATATCTTTAAAACCACAAATTATCTTTAATTGTTACTCACATTTTGGAGGTAAACAAATCCAAATAAGTATTTCTTGTTCATGGGAAATCGTATGAAGGCTCCAATTGAAGGCATAAGGACTTATAGTTTGATCTTGGAGACTAGACGTCACCTTGATTTACTACAAATTATTTATGTACCTTGAGTTTCTAGAAATATAATTTAACTTTCAAGACTTGATATTTCTGGTCTTAGTAATGGTTTATATAAATTGAACTCGATATTGGTTTTTCTGAATCCATTCCTGTTGTTCAATGTAATGTTGGAATTAAACGTAGTTCACTTTTCGGAAGCCAGCAGATCCATCTTGCTCTACCACCTACCGGCCTAGGCTTAAATCTCGTCCATCTCCTTTTGGAGTTGGCTGACCCGGTCGATCTTTTGTTGGACTTGCGAGGTTTTGTCATTTGCCACTATGACTAGTTCCTCGTTTCTAACTTAAAAGACCTTTACCTTTTTGACCAAGTCGGCATGCTCCTGCCTCAGGACCAATGCTTCTTTTTGAGCCTTAACTAGCACGTCCTGAGGGTCCTTTATGACCCTGTCTTGTTGCTCGCTGAGGAGCTTGTACGTATCCCTTTTTGAGCCTGCTCCTTAACCTCAAGCTCGAGCTTTTTGACCTCGACACGGTACCTGAGGATTACTTTGTGATAATGTAACAATTCTAGCAAATCAATTAAAATCATGAGAACATCCAAACCTAAGTAAAATTCAAAGAGATGTAATGTTGCCATACCTGGTTAAGAGCTATTTGCACCTCATTGAAAAGACACGGCATGTCCACCTCATTTATTTTTGCCTGGTCTACATTGGTCACCACGTATCAAAGGTAGTTGTATACTCGTACAAGAGCATAAAACCCGGGCATCCTCCGGGATAGTATGGATAAGCGATCTATTGCGATCGGGGTCCACACTCGGAGCAGGAAACTAATTAACAAGTTTTGGGCTTAGCTCTAAACTTTGCAATGGCCTATACATGAAATAAAGACACATAAGTCGAAAGAGGTAGAAAGAAAAAATTATATTGTTAAAAGTAAGTACGTACCCAAATAAGGAGATGCTGGGCCTCTTCAAAAATGTAGGATTCATCGTTGAGGTCGTTGGCATCCTCTATCCCAGCATAGCAAGCCTGAGAGGGATCGTCCTCAATGACCTTATTTGTTTCGGGCATATGTAAAGCGTTGGCTTCCTCGATTGCCCCCCAGAATAAGTTGGCAGTGAAACTGAGTGACCAGTTGTCGCGGCCCCGAGCTCTTCACTCGGGGCATTATTACTAGCATGGGGGGACTCAACGTTTACCCCCACCGGTATAGCAGCTGAAGACGGAGGGACAATCTCAACCTCTAGGGACATAGGGGCCTTGCCCGTTTCTTCTCTCCGGGCATCCTCACCACGAGGTATATTTTCTAGTTCGGAAGGCTCGGCTGCCTCAATTGGCTTCCTAGTCCGAGTCACCAGTGCCGATTCTTTATCATCATTCTCCTCACCATCTAGGGAGTCATGGGCTGAGTATGTGCCCGTTTGAGCAAACCTTTTCTGTAGCCTTTGAGTGGAGGTTTTCTTGTCTTGAGGGTCTTCGGGTATCGAGACCCTTTTTCTTTTGTTGTCCTTCTCGAGCTTTGGATTTAAAGACTTGTTTTTTCCCTAGGTAGGGCTGGCCTCATCTCCAAGGCCGTGGTTCTTGGCCTCCCACTGGCCCTTTGCGAATTCACACCACTTACGCTTGTCGTAGGAAGAAGTGGCAGCTAATTTTCTGACCCAATCCTTGAGGTCGGGCACAACTAGGGGCGCCCAAGAATCGACTGCCAAAAGAAATATAAGAGTATTATGGAAAATAAAAGAACATGAATAGATACAAAAATATGTACTCCACTTACAGTTAAAGTTCCACCTCTCCGGGAACGACATTTGTTCCTCGGGGATGATGTCCGAAGTCCTGACTCTAACAAATCGGCTCATCCAACCCCAATCTTTGGTTTCATCGGTGCTGGCAGAGAAGGACTTCATGGTTCGACGCTGCAGCTTGATGAGCCCTCGGAATAACTAGGGCCAATACAACCGAACTAGGTGGCTGGGGGTGAATTCCAAACCCTCGGCCTTCTCAGAGAAATACCGCAGCATGATCACGATACGCCAGAATGAAGGGTGGATCTGAACGAGGGTGACTTTGTATGTCTTGCATAAGTCTATCACCACCGGATCGAAGGGTCCCAGTGTGAATGGGTAAGTGTAAACACTAAAAAACCTCTCCTTATGGGTGGTTATGCTTTCATCAGGCCTCGGGATCAGAACCTCAACCTCGTCTCCCTACCGACAATCTTCCTTTATATCTTTGATGAGCTGCTTAGTTATCAAGCTAATGTATCAGAATACGTGCTCGCATCGGCCCTCGACATCGGGAGGATTCTCGATACCGAAGTCCTTTTTGATGATACAATTACCAGGGGTGGTTTCTTCAAGTGTTGGCGGCACCACCGGTTTGGCCAGCCATGAGGAAAAGGAAGATGATGTTTTATCTTTATTAGGGTCCGTCTTGTAAGTTTTGGCCATGGTTGTAAGCTAAGGAATGCGGGTGCACAAGGATGTAGTGTTTCCGGCAAGAGCTTGATGTTTTCCGGCGTTTATAGAGGCGGAGGAAGCGAGTCATTAAAGATAGAGATGAAGATATGAAAAGGTTGAAGAAAGGGTAAAGTTCTTTACGTAGGGAAAATGCCCCATATTTATGGAGGGACATCGACGGTTCAGTGGCATTAGTAGTCGACCAATGGTGACGTGCATTCAATGTTTTTTGGGAAATGGGCTGATGGGACGTTTCAGTCACTTCGAAGGCTGGCATCGCGAGTATGATATCATCATTGGAGGCTCGGGAAAATCAAGGTTCAAATCGTTTCATATCATTCCATTCGAAGAAACGCGGGGAGTATCTGTATACGGTCAAAATCGAGGAGCATGATTTTGAAGTCTTAAGCTGAGCTATGGGTCCGAGTCCGGGAGACCAAAGTAGAGGTCAGATCTAGCTAAGGTACACATACCCCGATAAAGCTGATCGAAGGCCTGACACGGCTTGCATCGAGGGAAGCACAATCTCGAAGTCAATCAAGAAAGAGCGGGAAATTCTTAAGGACACGTGGAATAGGGCATAAATTAAAGGATAAGATTTGTACGAAATGGTACAGGTCCGTACTAGGTCGTTATACACCTGTACCAATAGAATTCTTTACCACAATAAGGAATTTACTATATTGGGGTTTTCTCCTCCTATATAAAGGGGACCCCAATCATTTTGTAATGGGAGATCACATTATTCACTGCAATAGAAAATTCTATTCTACTCATGTTTAACGTGCTCAACAACTACTCTTCAGCTTTATTGCCTTTACTTTATTGTATATACTTTATTGTAATCAATGCTGCTCCAACAACATTGATTTGGTTCATCATTTCTTCTTATTTAAGCTTAATATTACTCGAATGATCACTAGTATTAGAATATATCACATATCTTTAAAACCACAAATTATCTTTAATTGTTACTCACATTTTCGAGGTAAACAAATCCAAATAAGTATTTCTTGTTCATGGGAAATCGTATGAAGGCTCCAATTGAAGGCATAAGGACTTATAGTTTGATCTTGGAGACTAGACGTCACCTTGATCTATTACAAATTATTTATGTACCTTGAGTTTCTAGAAATTTGATTTCACTTTCAAGACTTGATGTTTCTGGTCTTAGTAATGGTTTATATAAACTGAACTCGATATTGGTTTTTCTGAATCCATTCCTGTTGTTCAACGTAATGTTGGAATTAAACGCATTTCACTTTTCGGAAGCCTGCAGATCCATCTTTCTCTACCACTCATCGTCCTAGGCTTAAATCTCGTCCATCTCCTTTTGGAGTTGGACGACCTGGTCGATCTTTTGTTGGACCTGCGAGGTTTTGTCATTTTCCACTATGACTAGTTCCTCGTTTC